ACCGCTTGTCGCAGTGAGCTCTGTTCGTGAGATCAGGTAACCGTTCCAAGACTCTGTCTCTCCTAATGTCTGTTCCTGATCGCCTTATCTTTCTTTATCTGTGCTCCGGACTAGGCACGTACCCGGACGTTCAAGTCCCTATCTCGAAGAGAGTGATTTTGATAGCGACTTTGCAAGCTTGTCCAGTCCCTGTTGAGCCCTTGTTGGGCTATGATCTTGAGATAGTGACGTCTGGGGCGTTCTAAATGCAAACATAAGTAGAAACATGAGATGATGGAGGTAGTGTTGTTCAGTTGAAGGGAGAAGATGTGAGTAGTGGATCTCTTGCAGGACGGAAGTTGCCGGGTGAAGACGATCTATCCACGGCAAGTCAGGCTGCGTTGGTTCGTATCCGTGAGAGCTGGTTAGCAGTTGGGCTCGATTGTGTCTAGGTTTGATTTTTTTGGTAGTTTTTGTTTTCAAGTGGGTTATGATGGGAATTCCAAGACATGGCAACATAGTGGTTCGAAACAGCTTCAATGGTGGAGGATGAATTTAGAGTAGGTAGATAGAACAATAAGCAAACAAAAGCTAGATTAGATCAGGTAGATAGAACAATAGGCAGACAAAGAGATATCTATCGGCCGGAGGTGTTCATAATAAGTCATCAACCGAAAGAAAATACAGCTCGGGCGGTTTTGTTGTGCGGACGACTTGGGGCGGTTTTGTTGTGCGGACGACTTGGATATTGGTAATCCAAATGGACCACGTACTTTTTCATGTAAGCCTTCGTGGATGCTGCTGAGGAAGCAGGCAGACCGTCGAATTGTTGATGGAGTGGAACAGTACGGAATTCTCGCTCCAAAGGGAGAGTGTATCAATTGCCGGACGGCGAGTCCGGGGAGGAGGGACAAAAACAGGTTCGGCCGACTCTGTCTAGTGATTGCTTGAACAAGGTGTTGGTGAAATTGGTAGAAGAGGATGCGGGGATTGGCTTACTGGCAATTAGGGTCATTGTCCAAAAGCTTTGTAGCAGATTGGGAAAGAATGTCGTGACTGACGTAGGACTTCGCTCTGTTTCGAGCAGCCTGGAACTGAGCTTTGGAAGGTGTGAAAGTTAGAAGGTTCATTTCTCTTTCACTTTGTATGGTGGGCAGGGGGTAAGGCAATATACTAGGTCCATCACTCTGGCAAGGCACAGAAGCCAAATTGGAGAGCTTCTCAAGAAGCTGCTCGGCCGTGCCCTTGTGTCTCGAAGCCAACTCAGTTAGGATCACCTCTAGGTCCTTTATGTGTGGGGTAACTTTCAGATCAGCCACACGCACATGCGGCGACCGAAGGCAACCAACAAATTGATCCAAGAGCTGCTTCCGAGGCCGCGAGAATCCGAATACTCTAGCTTTGCCTTGGCAACTGTTTCCAGCTATGACGCAACTGCAGGCTCGTGACTGACGGATCTTTTGGTCTGGAGCTCAACGGCCCATAGAAACTTGGACGCCTTTTTAAGTAATTGTGGCTGCTGAAGGGCCGCCACCACTGCCGGAGGTATCACGATGGGACGGTTGACCTTGGCCGACACCAAAACATTTAGCCCCTACCAAAGACGTAGGTTCTGTCGGAAACAGCTCGGTGTTGGCAGGGCGCTCCTGCCGCCCCAAGACGATTCGTGGTGCTTTAACTTTGCGTGTCAATGTGCCTTCCTGAACCTGGGGAAACCTGAGCTCCTAGAACTGCAACCATGCAGCGTGAACGATCAGAGACAGACCGCTCTGAAGTAGCCAGCTCGAAAAAATGAGCCACCTCCCTTGGTACTCTTTGAAGCCGACACAAACACTTGTTTGATGGTTCACGACCGGAGAATGCACAAACGTATTTGAGTTTCCAGCCTGGAGGCGTCTCTTCCTGCAGTACCTGCTGCGGATACTGCCAGTGCGGAGATCGGTGACACGGGCAAGGCATGGCAAGGCGACACCGGAAATTGCCGTCATTAGCGACGGTTGTTTTCGTGGCTGCACCCGTAGCTGCGTAGTTGCACTGGTAAGTAGTCGGTATTTCCAGAAGGGTTCTAACCTGGAGGTGTCTCTTCCGGGAACACCCGCGGCGGACACTTCCAGCGCGGCCATCGGCCACAGGAAGGTATTCGGACCTATGAGCACGTGACCTTCCATGGATGGGCCTATTTGCAGGCGCCCTGGCCAGTGCTGTGCCATCACTCTGAATCCTGCTCCTTGAAATTTGCTCAGGATTTGTTGCTGTACTTTCCAGCACGGTGGCGAGCTAAGGTTTCAATCTCCCTGGCAATTCAGGTAGTTCACGGTCTTTTCCCCACCTAGATTTGCACGAGTCCACAAGGTTAACACGTCACGGGACGTGATGTGACATGGTGCAACTATACTGAAAAGAGCACATGTTTCACCCTTCCAGCGCGGCCATCGGCGACAGGAAGGTATTCGGACCTATGAGCACGTGACCTTCCATGGATGGGCCTATTTGCAGGTGTCCTGGCCAGTGCTGTGCCATCACTCTAAGTCCTGCTCCTTGAAGTTTGCTCAGGATTTGTTGCAGTACTTTCCAGCACGGTGGCGAGCTAAGGTTTTAATCTCCCTGGCAATTCAGGTAGTTCACGTTCTTTTCCCCATCTCTACAAGGTTAACACGTCACGGGACGTGATGTGACATGGTGCAGCTGTACTGAGAAGAGCGCATGTTTCACCCTGTCGATGGAGTCGGCGCACGGAGTGCAAAAGGGGTCCCGGTCTGCGACGCCCCAGTCCCTCTCTCGAGGAGACGTGCTTGTCCAGTCCTTTTTGAGCCCTCGTTAGGCCACGTTATTTGCGAGGTTGCCATTCCAGAACGTGATTTCGGTTTGTCTTTGCTCCGGTGAAGCCAAATATCACTTCTAATGCTATGCCAAACAATATGGAAGCTATGTTTAGCTACGTTAAGGGGGAATCTATTCCAGTCTACGACGTTCAAGCGCAGACGCGTCCTTTCGGTAGTAACTTCTAGATCTCTGTTAGGCAATCCACGCCCTTTGGAGCCTTCGTGAGACCATGTTTACGACGTTCAAGTACCTATCTCGAAGAAGCTTACTTGAGAGTGTTCGACCATATGGGAGGTCTACTCGGGAGATAGTATTGTCGTTCCTGAACCTGACCTGCTTATCTCTACTCCTGACCACCCACGTACCTGGACGTTCAAGTCCCTATCTCGCCGACATGTCCGTTGGATAGTGACTTCTAGGGTTATCATACGTACCCGTTTTGCCGTTCCTGGACCTGACCTGCTTATCTCTGCTCCGGACCAGCCACGTACCTGGACGTTCAAGTCCCTATCTCGCAGACACGTCCGTTAGATAGTGACTTCTAGGGCCATGTTAGGCAATCCGCCTTCACTCTATTCCAGTCCCTTTTGAGCCTTCGTTGGGCCATGTTTACGACGTTCAAGTACCTATCTCGGGAAAGCATACTTGAGATAGTGACTTCTGGAGTTATGTTCGACCATATGGGAGCTATGCTCGTGAGATAATGTTACCGTTCCTGGACCTGACCTGCTTATCTCTGCTCCGGACCACCCACGTACCCGGACGTTCAAGTCCCTATCTCGCAGACACGTCCGTTAGATAGTGGTTACGCAATATGGAAGCTATGTTGAGCCCCGTTAGGGGAACCTGTTCAGCCCAATGTCCAGATGATGCAGATGATGCAAAGCAGAAACTCGCATTTCTTGCATGTCTAAAGCCTTCAAGATACCCAACATTAGCACGAAAGCACTTTAAGCCGGTTCCAAAAACGTGAAAAACACAGGATTCTAGAGCAAAAATGCCCTTCCCCTTCCCCCTAGCTAAAGCTATTGTATACTGACGATACTAACGGATTGCAAGCACAGCCCTATAAAACGCCTCAGCACCTTCGGTGCGGGCGGATTTTATAGAGAACTGGGTGCTTGATAGGAAGGCTGCTAGGAAGGGCACCTGGGCTTCATTGTGGCACTTGTGCTTTGCTGGCTGGGTGGGTGGTGGGGGCAATGCTTCATAGGAGAAGTGTGGGCCTAAGCTTCAACCCCACCCCTGGACATGCAATAAACGTGTGATAAAGTGTGTCTTTGGGATTTGCCTTGTCGGGGAGCCCTGCTACATCCTGGAACTGTGCTGTGGCACCTGGGCTTCATTGTGGCACTTGTGGCACTTGTGCTTTGCTGGCTGGGTGGGTGGTGGGGGCAATGC